TAAGAGACACACTCAAGGGGAAGACTCAGTGAGCACCAAAGCCCTACTGAAGCAAGGCCTAGCCCCTAAAGTTGTCTCCTGCACAAAGCATCTTCCAGTGTAAACACAGCTGGTCATCACAGCCAATTGGCCTGGAGGTAAATTCCTCCCAGTGATACCAACAGCAGTCAAGGGTTAACTACAACAAGACTGTGTAAACAACCCACAAAGGGGTGTACCAAGAACGTCCACCTCAGGTGACTGGGGAGGCTGAACCACTGGGCCCTGTAGGACACAAACCACACAAAGCCACTCTACCAACTCAAGGAGTCTTAGCAGCTACCCAGTACATAGAAGCAAACACAAAAAAGCAGCCAAAATGCAAAGACAGAGAAACAAGTCACAAATGAAAGAAATAGATAAAAGAAAAATACTGGCTATAGAGTTCAAAACCATGATTATAACATTACTCAAAAAATCTTCTATAAACCTCTGAGAAATTTAATGAGGCTTTCAAGGATATGAAAAAGGCCCAATCAAAAATTAAGAATACACTGACCAAAATAAAGAATAATATACAGAAATCCAACAGCAGACTAGAAGATCCCAAGAATCAAGTCAAAGATTTAAAATATGAAGAAGCAGAGAGAAAACCAAGATGGTGGCATAGGGTAGACACCTGAATGCAGCTTACCACAACAAATTTGAATTTAGAACTGAAAAGCAGGGGAAACATCACCCTGAAGCACCAGACGGCTGGCTGAGAGGAGGCTCTACCATCTGGGAAGGAGAAAGAAGGCGCACTGAACCTCAGGAACTGTGAAGGTGCGGAGAACGGTGTGCACGAAAAAGCAGCCACCCGACTTTGCTGCTGGCTTGCTCCCTGCGTGTGGAGAGGGTGGACAGCTAATGCTCGGCTGGCTTTCTTGTTTGGGAGGAAAACAGAACCACCCAATTGCACTGATAAGACGGCCCCAGACAGGGAGAGGCCAAACTGTCAGGCAGTGGGCAGAGATCTCTTGGAGCTCTGTGAAGCCAGCGGCCATTACTGCGAGTCTCAGAAACCAGACCCTCGTAGGAGGGGCTGAATAAAGCTTGTCTGCACCACCCAAGACTCCACCCCATCCAAGCGAAGCACAGAAGCCCTTCCAGTGGCTAGCTTCCTTGTTCACTGTCAATAGGACTCCCCTAGGGAGGGGCAAACAGAAATCTAAAGCTTGTCTGCAACCAATTGTGCAGGATTCAACAAAGTTTGTCTGTGCCACACCGAGACTACGCTCCATTCAAGCGGAATACAGAAACCCTCCTAGCTGAGACACTTCTGATCCTCATAGCCAAATGGCTTGGAGATCAATGCTTCCCAGTGATACCAACAACAAGCAAGGCTTAACAATAAGACTGCACACACAGTCCACAAAGGGCTACACCAAGACTGTCCACCTCAGGTAACTGGGAGGCTAACTCACTGAACCATATAGGACACCTTAGCACACAAAGCCACCCTACCAACTCAGGGAAGCTGTGAAAATGCCGAGACAAGGAAATAGATCATAAACAAAAGAAATGGAGGGAAAGAAGAGACTGGATATAAAGTTCAAAACCACACTTATAAGGTTTTTCAAGAATTTCCTAGAAAAGATGGATAAGACCTATGAGGAGATGAAAAGGGATCAACAAGAAATAATAAGGGATCAACAAGAAATAATAAGGGATCAATAAGAAATAAAGAATACATTGTCTGAAATAAAAAATATTATACAGAGTCCTAAAAACAGAATAGAAGATCGCAAGAATCAAGTCAAAGATTTGGAACATAAAGAGCCAGAAGACACTTTTCTGCAGAAGCAAGAAGACAAGAGAATCCAGAAAGTTGAAGATAATGTAAGAAACCTCTGGGACAACTTCAAGCGAACCAACATCAGAATTATGGGGGTCCCAGAAGATGAGAGAGAGCAAGATATTGAAAACATACTGAAAGAAATAGTGACAAAAAACTTCCCCCACCTGGTGAAAGAATTAGACTTACAAGTCCAGGAAGTGCACAGAACTCTAAACAAAAGGAATCCAAAGAAGACCACACCAAGACACATCATAATTAAAATTCCAAGAGCAAAAGACAAAGAGAGAATATTAAAAGCAGCAAGAGCAAAGCAGGAAGTTACCTATAAAGGAGCACCTATATGATTGTCAGCTGATTTCTCAACAGAAACCATGCAGGCCAGATGGGAATGGCAAGAAATATTCAAGGTGATGAATAGCAGGAACCTACATCCAAAAATAATCTACCCAGCAAAGCTATCACTCAGGATCGAAGGCCAGATAAAGAGCTTCACTAAAAAAAAAAAAAAAAAAAAAAAAAAAAAAAAAAAAAAAAAAAAAAAAAAAAAACTAAGGGAGTTCATAACCGCCAAACCAGAATTATATGAATTGCTGAAGGGGGTTCTTGGGTTCTTTCGGAAGAGAAAGTAAATAAAGATAAAAACTATGAATAACAAATACATAACTATCAACAAGTGAATCTAAAAACCAAGGGAATTTTAAAAAATCTGGTGAACAATATTAACTGGTGAATATAATAAAATCAGAGGTATGGAAGGTGAGTGAACTGACGATTCTTGGGGAAAAGGGGAGAGGGGGGTGTGGGAAGAGAACATAAACTGTGCACCTATGGATGAGGACAATGGGGGGTGGGGAAAGGGCAGAGGGTGGGGTGGGAACCTGGTGGAGGGGAGCAATGGAGGGGGGGGGGATAAGGAACATTTGTAATAATATAAACAATCAAGATTTATTTTAAAAAATAAAATAAAAAATAAATAAAATATGAAGAAGCAAAAAAACCCCAACTGGAAAAACAAAAAGAAAAAAGAATCCAAAAATATGAAGACGGTATAAGGAGCCTCTGGGACAACTTCAAGCATATCAACATCCAAATTATGGGGGTGCCAGAAGAAGAGAGAAAGCAAGATATTGAAAACCTATTTGAAGAAATAATGACAGAAAATTTCCCCCAGCTGTTGAAAGAAATAGACTTACAAGTCCAGGAAGCACAGAGAATCCCAAACAAGAGGAATCTAAAGAGGACCACACCAAGACACATCATAATTAAAATGCCAAGGGCAAAAGACAAAGAATCTAAAAAGCAGCAAGAGAAAAACAATTACCAACAAGGAAGTACCCATATAACTGTCTGCTGATTTCTCAACAGAAACTTTGCAGGCCAGAAGGGAGTGGCAAGAAATATTCAAAGTAATGAACAGCAAGAACCTACAACCAAGATTACTCTACCTAGCAAAGCTATCATTCAGAATTGAAGGTCAGATAAAGAGTTTCACAGACAAAAAAAAATAAAGGAGTTTATCACCACCAAACCAGTATTATATGAAATGCTGAAGGTTATTCTTTAAGAAGAGGAAGAAGAAAAAAAAGGTAAAGATAAAAATTATGAACCACAAACACATATCTATGAACAAGTGAATCTAAACATCAAGTGAATAAAAAAATCTGAGGAACAGAATAAACTGGTGAATATAATAAAATCAGGGGCATAGAAGGGGAGTAGACTGACAATTCTCGAGAGAAAGGGGGTGTGGGGTGCAGGAAGAGATTGGACAAAAATCTTACACCTATGGATGAGAATAATGGGGGGTCTAAGTGCATGGGGTGAAGGGGAGCTATGGGGGGGAAAAGAGGAACAACTGTAATAATCTGAACAATAAAGATGTATTTTTAAAAATCAGAGAAAAGATTAAACAAAGAATTATATGCATATGTGCATTGTCCATGGACACAGACAATGGTGTGGTGAAGGCCTGAGACAGGGAGGGAACTGAGTGGTAGGGGTCACGGGAGAATAAAAGGGGAGACATCTGCAATACTCTCAACAACAAAGTATAAAATAGACAGAAAAGTTTATAAAAATGCTTCTTTGCCTGCCACTGACATTTGAGCACCATTTGGTTGGTGACCACTGCTCCAAAGGTTTCTTTAAAACAGCATCACCAACCTTTCGGACCTCATGGACCACTGGTTGGCAGCAGCCCTAATCACATGGCCCAGGTGGCAAAGCAGCTTGCACAGAAGCCTAGACATATTGCAGAGTCTTATCTTGTTCTGAGCCCAAAACAAACTGGCATTTCTTAGGTCACATTTATACAATGCCTAACCAAAGAAGAAATTAAGAGGATTCTTTCAACCAGATTCTGTTTTAAAAATCTCTGAGCAAACCTCTGATTGGACTGCATGGAACCTACTCTCATCCCTCTAATGACAGTACCTTTGGGGGAAAGTTTTATTGATCCAGCCTGATTTATGTAACCACACCTATAACCAAGATTTGGAGTGTCTGTTGTTGGAAGCCCCTCTCCAAAACTAGTTCCCTAAACGATGTTTTTCTGGGAATTTATCATAAAGACTAGTAAGAAAAATGTCTCCCGAGGTGAGATAAGGCTGTGGTGAAGGCTTTCCCCTTGTAGAGAAAGGGAGAAGGAGAGGGAGAAATAGAAACATCAATGATGAGAGAGAATCTTTGATAAGCTGCCTCCTGCACACCCCACACTGGGGACCGAGCACACAACCCTAGCATGTGTCCTGACCAGAACTGAACCCAAGACCCTTCAGTCCACAGGCCAACACTCCATTCACTGAGCCAACCCACTAGTGCTGCCCTTCTCTTTCTATAAGACTCCTGCACTTTCCTACATTGATGACATTGTGCTGGGGACCCTTGATGTGGAAGGCAGTTGGTCCACCTGTGTGTATTCAGGCTCGAACTTGGAGAATAGAAAGATATCCCTGGCCCGCTCTGGTCCTTGGGGGTCAGAAGAAGTGCTTGACCCTGAAGAAGAGGGTGTGTGGGAGCCCCAAACGGCTCCAGCATTCCAGGGAGGCCAAGGAAGGAGGGCAGGGCCCAAGCCTGAGGGAGGGAAAGAGGAGAGGAGGAGTTTTGCAGCTCAGCCCCTTGGTCGGGTCCTTCTACAGGGAAACGCGCGGCGCTGCAGAGCAGAGCTGAGGGCTGGACCACCATGAGGGGACCCGCGCTGCTGCTGTTGCTGCTGCTGCTGCTGCTGTTTCCAATCTCGCTTACCCTCGGCTTCCCAGGTAGGGCAGGGGTAACCTCCCCTCAGCTGAGGAGGGGACAGAGGGAGGTGCAGAGAGTGTTCTTTGTTTGTGTCGGAAGCCTTTCTTGGCGCCCTGGGAGGGGAGGAGGCGGAGGGAGCCTCCTCCGGTTTGGGCAGGATTGCCAGCCCCTAGCTAGGCTTCCAGTGGGGCCGGGATCCGGAGTCCCCTCTGTGTCTGGTGTTCCAGGAGTCCAAGTAGAACCATATTGGAGCAGAAGGCGACTCTAAGAAGTTTGGGTGCGGGCTCTTTTTGTAGCCAGACAGCCAATGCGTCTGCGCTGCCTGTCACTACATGAGCCAATTCAGCAGAAACAGGGTTGAATCCTATATGAGCGTTTATTCCAATCCTACTGGCAGCAAGGGGAAAGCAGCAGATCACCCACAAGAATCTGCTCTGACTTCCTTGCCAGCTGGCTGGTCATATACACAGAGGGAGAAGACAGCTACTTGCAACTGCCAGCTGCAGTGTAAGGAGAAAGGAAAAGGGGAAGGGAAGGTCCGCAGTCAGGCCTTCAGGAGCTCAAAGCCTAATAATATGGTGGCTAATCTGTGATATTACAAACAGCTCAGCCTGTTCCTGGGACCAGAGGACAGTCAGCGTTTCTGAGAAAAAGTCCCAGAGGGGGTCAGGGTCCAGGCGCAGCCATCAAATCAAAGTGTGTCCTGTCCTTGGTCTGTTCTCAAAGGTATTTTCTTACTGAGTCATGGACCCATTGAGGCATCTTATCATTTTACAGCCTCCTTTCATCCTCCAGTGTCCCAGAGTCTGTAAGAAAAGCTCTCATCTATAGTGAGTATGTGGTAAATAACTATTAGACAACAGTAGCTCTATTCTTATTACGTGCCCTTCCCCACTATCAGTTTCTCACTACCCAGAAGTTTGACTCCTTACAAGGGGTTGCTCAGGGCCTGGTCTCAGCAGTCTGGAAGGTAGTCTGAAACTACCACAGAGGTTTTAAGCCCTCCCCTGAAGCTGTATGCTGGGTCACTTGCAGATTCTTTTGGACCGCACAAGTGGGGCCTTGCTACTGCTCCCAATCCCTTTAGCTGGAGATTCTGAGAAAATCTGAGCATCTGGGAGAGAGGCGCCCACTGAGCATGGTGACATGTGGCATGCACTCCATTAGCCCCAGGAAAAGAGGATGTAGCTTCTTGAGGGCGTGGTCTGTAGATTCTAAAGGAAACCTGGTATTTATTAGAGTTCTTCTGGTATTGGGAAAAACTTTATTTTTTTATTATTTTTTTTAATATATTTTATTGATTTTGTACAGAGAAGAAGGGAGAGAGATAGAGAGTTAGAAACATCAATGAGAGAGAATCATTGATCAGCTGCCTCTTGCACACCCCCTACTGGGGATATGCCTGCAACCAAGGTACATGCCCTTGACCGGAATCGAACCCGGGACCCTTCAGTCCCCAAGCTGACGCTCTATCCATTGAGCCAAACCGGTCTCGGCGAAAAACTTTATTTTTTAAAATATATTTTTATTGATTTCAGAGAAAGAGAGGGAGAGAGAAACATAAATGATAAGAGAAAAATCACTGATCAGCTGCCTTCTACATACCCCCTACTGGGAATCGAGCCTGAAACCTGGGCATGTGCTCTGACCAGGAAATGAATTGTGATCTTCTGGTTCATAGGTCCGCACTCAACAACTGAAACATGCTAGCTAGGTGGCAAAACCTTCTTTAGAGATGCCTCTTAAAAACCTAAAGCTTGCCCAAGGGGCGTGGTTCAGTGGTTGATCATTGACCTATGAACCAGGAAGTAACAGTTTGATTCCCTATCAGGGAACATGCCCAGGTTTCAGGCTCGATCCCCAGTAAGGGGCAAACAGGAGGCAGCCAATCAGTGATTCTCATCATCGATGTTTCTCTCTCTCCCTCTCCATGCCTCTCTGAAATGAATAAAAATATTTTTTAAAGATAGAATAAAAAATAAAAACCTCAAGCTTATTTCTTCATCTGGGACTCTTAGGTTAGCAGAGTTTCAGGGGAGCAGGGCAACATGGATGCACCCTTGTGTCCATGAAACTGAGAAGAAATCCCTGGGAAAGTGGTTGATGTAGATAGGGTGTGCCAATATTTGGCTTTGTGATCCACACAGTGGGCAGTTTAAATCTGGGGTCTGAGAAACAAACCTACTGAGTTATAGATGAAAGATCTCATGGAGGATGGGGAGGCAGGGACAGGGTTTCCCCAGATATGTGCTTGGGAGATGTAGAAATGGCTGCTGGAAATTCTCAGCGCATCTGCAAATGAATGAGTCAAACAAATGTATGAAGTGATAAAGAGGAACATTTGTGTTTTGAGCTGACTCTTGCAAGTTTAAGCCATTTGTTAGGAACTGATTCTGGGCAAAGTGGAAAGGAAACTTTATCCTCAGGGCCACACTAGTGCCATTCCCATCCCCTTTAGCAGGAGTCAGGTTAAAAATGAACCCAGAGGGGAAGGGAAAGCAGGGGGAGAAGTTGAGAAACTAGCTAGAGGCCATTGTACTCTAATGTGGAAGGCTTCTTTGAGCTGCCTGTACATCTGGTGGAGCTTTTCTCAGCCAAGGGGCCTCTTCTCTTTTCCCGTCTGACTGCCATCACTCCTTTTCTGTGCTCTCCACTCTGTTTTCTCTCGGTTTCCACACTTGTATAGTGTGGATTGATGCCAGGGTCCAGCCACCCACAGAATCATGGGTTTCCCATGCTGGGCACTCACCACTCTCCCTGGCTGCCCTGGCTCCTACAGCCAGCAAGCAGGCTTCCCTCTACTAGAAGCTACAGCTCTCCTCCTTGCTAAACCCTATCCTGATTCCTCACCTGCCCTCAGTCTCTGCTCAGATCCCACATGAGCAGAAACCAATTGAAGAACCTTTCAAAGCCCTTCCTTGGCTCCTTTCCACAGGGTCTCTCAGGAAATGTGCTTGGCTGGGGCTATTGAATTCAAAGATGGGGGTTTCACTCTGAGCCCAAAGTTTTGGAAAGCTGGGGAGGGTATATACTCTAGGCCAGCATGTCCTGAGAAAAATCACTCTATGTGCGGGGGGGCAAGATTTTGCAGATCATTTCAAAGGTACCGTCTTAACAAGTGGACATCATGTTTCCAGTAAAAGAGAAGGTAAGAGGCCCACAGTCAAGAACCTCTGAAAGAGGGAGATGATATAGGGCCCCATTAGCCTCCGAGTTATATAACCAGCTGCAATTTCACAGCAAATCTATCCAAGCTAGAGTAAATCCTTCCCATTCCCACTCCTAGAAGGTTAGGCTTCTTTTCAGCCTAACATAGACATAGTACCCTGTTTTCCCAATATGGTTGCCCCCATGTGGTCAAAGATCCTGCCCTTATGTGGACACAAGATGGCCACTACAAGATGGCCAGCAGGGGAGGGCAGTTGAGAGGGACCATGCCTGCAAGGGAGGGTAGTTGGAGGCAATCAATCCTGCAGGGGAGGGCAGTTAGGGGTGACCAGGCCGGCAGAGGAGGGAAGTTGGGGGCAAACAGGCTTGCAGGGGAGCAGTTAGACATCAATCAGGCTGGCATAGGAGTGGTTAGGGGGTGATCAGGCTGGCAGGCAGAAGTGGTTAGAGGCAATCAGGAAGGCAGGCAGGCGAGCAGTTGGGAGCCAGCAGTCCTGGATTGTGAGAGGGATTACCACCAGGAATCGGGCCTAAATGGGCAATTTAACATCCCTCAAGGGGTCCCAGATTGGAGAGGGTGCAGGCTGAGCTGAGGGATACCCCCCCTGCCCCGTGCACAAATTTTGTGCACTTGGCCTCTAGTATATGTATAAAAGGCTAAGTGACCAGCCAACCAGCTGGAAGGTATGACACACACTGACCACCAGGGGGAAGATGCTAAACACAGGAACTGCTGAACCACAGCAACTTTGCAGAGTGCCCTCTCACACTCTGAGATCACTCAGGGCATGTTGGACTGCTGGTTTTGGCCTGATTCCCATAGGCCAGGCCAAGGGATCCCACCTGCTGGAGGGATCACACTCACTCCTCAGACACCCTTGGAGTCCAGGTGCCACCCCAGGGGAGGGACTGAGGGAGATGGGCTCCAGGTCATGTACAGCCTATCTCACCCAGCCCCATCAGCCATCTTCTAATTAATTTCCTTTCAATGTGCACAAATTCATGCACCAGGCATCTAGTGTAAAAACAAACAAAAAAACATATGTGTGAAAAGTTCCTATAGTCAAGTTATATGCATTGTTTTTGCACATGTATAAGGGGAAGAGTTTTGATTCTGTTGTTTAGTGAACTCTTTTTTTAAAAATATATATATTTTGTTGATTTTTTACAGAGAGGAAGGGAGAGAGATGAGAGTTAGAAACATCGATGAGAGAGAAACATCAATCAGCTACCTCCTGCACACCTCCTACTAGGGATGTGCCCACAACCAAGACACATGCCCTTGACTAGAATTGAACCTGGGACCCCTTAGTCTGAAGGCCGACGCTCTATCCACTGAGGCAAACTGGTTAGAGCTAAATAAACTCTTGAAACCTTATTTATATATGAGAGTTTAGAGAATTACTGCACCTACTTCTGTCAGCAAGGCTGAAAGTGGAAATGAGTGATATGGCCACTAAAAGACTCCATGAATCTTACACCTGGAGAAAGCTGGTTAATGTAGTGTGTGTTGGCCAATCAGGAAAGCCGAGTGAAGTTTGTTAAATGCCATCCCATACCAGACCAGCCATATGAGTCTTCTGAAATGCCACATTTGGATATATGTATTAGGAACAGAACACCTGGCTCAGGATATACAATTAAAGTCTCAGGCTAGGCTAGAAATTTCTATTTGGATTTAAAACATGTAATCAGCTGACAAAATCACTCTGCATTAAAAAGTGGAATGCTGGGGAGGGGAGAGCAGGACATTTTCATCTGGCATTTTCTTTACTGATAACACTGCTTCTCACGTCACAGTATTGTGTGCTCTAAGAGACACTGGAGACCATTGTTAAAGCACTATCTTCAA